TTTGTTATTATTCTTGACAGTTTTCTGCCTCGGGAATTATATAGCATTAATTAATGACAGAACCAACAATGAAATTTATATCGAATTACGCGCACGTGTGGGAATGATGGTGACATTACAATATTACAATTCTATATTAGTTTATTGGAACTACGCCACGTGATTAATCAATACAGCAATAGAAATTGGAATTGTTTGCATCGCAAAACCCCAGTATAATAGACAAAGATAAAATACGAATTAATTACAATACGCATTTGTTATACGTTTATACATTTTTTTTTATTTTATTTACAAAATTTCGTTTTTTATCTTTGGAATATCGAAAAATTTATATTCATTTTAATTCAATCTAAGTAGATTAAATGTTATATGCTATTAAATTACGATATATTTACCATTTATTCGCAGTTTTTTTATTACAGTGATATTAAAAGTAAATTAATGTTTTTTAATGTATTTTTTTCGTAAATTAATGTATAATATTTATAAAAGAAATTAGAGCTTTAAGTCGCAGCACTTTTTATGGTATTAAAAAGGTATAGCCAAGCGTCGTTTTCTTTAAGTGTGGTGATTTTTATGATTGATAGTACTGGCAAAAAAAAAACAGTAATTCTGTCTTCAGCGGTTGACGCTTTTAAGAGCAAAAAATATAGGAAGTAATGATCTTTTGTTAGATTTTTTGCTATAAACTTTTCCATACAATTTTAGTGTTGAATATAGAGCATTCGACTTCATAGCAGTCACATCAATCATCGTCAATTCTATTTTTTCGAAACTATAACGTGTTGAATATCGCATAATGTTATTGTATACCTTAAGATATTATATTATCTATCGTAATTAATTCTTTCTTTTTCGTAAATTAAAAACAAACAGAAGAATAAAGAAAAGCAAATTTGTGATATAATTAATGGTCAATGTAATTTTGTGTCGATAAAGTATATATAATATTAAAATTTTGAAAAGAATTGTATTAATTTTAATACGACTTAAAAACAATTTAATGCAATTTTTATGAGGACAGTGTAAAATACACGTAATTAATAGCAATGATATAAGTATTAATAATAAATTAATATTGTCTATTGAAAATATTAAAAAGCATATAATAAAGAAATATTAATTAATATGAAGTATACCTAATTTGCATTATCATAATGAAAGAACGTAATGGTTTGAAAAATTATTATAATGAAATTAAAAATTTGCTCGCGCGTGCACACATCTCTTGGAATAATAATTGTATTTTAATTAATTTAATTAATTTATCACATTTCTTCCATCATGTTCTTCTTTTTTTAATTCAATCGATGACGCAGTGTATGTTCAACGTTGAAAATGTTACAGATCGATTTAACCAGAAACAAGTCATCGATCAAAAAATTCGATTCTCGAACTATGAAACTTATAATTCGCTATTGCAAGAAATCTTTTTCTTTTCACTGCCAAGAAATATATCAAGTCATCGGGACGATTAATAACTCGATTAATTTGATTTTTGATTAGTAATTATACATTAATAATTAGAAATTATTTTATAGATACAATGTCATTTTCTGTTACGAATTCTTTGATAAATAATTATGCATTAACTCTACTCATACTATATGTAATTCTCTATGAATTGTGAATAGAAATCAATCAACACAACAAACGCCATATAATTCCGCGAGCAAAAAGTGATCGAGTCGTAGTATTGAAAATTCCTCACGAGATTCTGCGAAGAAATTTTTTATGCATACCTCGTAGTCAAACACCCTTGGAGGCATTTCTAACATCGGGTTATCCCTTCTTGGCTATATCCTTGCGTCGCACTGAAGCTTTACGATCGACTGCGCCGGTATCTTACGACCAGAATAAGGTTTCACACATAAATCTGTATCGGGATATTTTGAGTCCAAATACGAAAGATATACAGACACAGTAGCCTAGGTTACTAGAGGAATGTCTAATGTTCATGTGTATACATGACTCAGTGTGAAGGTAAAGTGACAACAAAGAACCCTGAAAAGGATAGGGATTAATATTGCATGCGCAGTAATCTTATAAAGTTTGACTTTTTTTTCAACATTATGGAAAGTTGACTATAAGTATTCTTTAATCGCGATGGAAATGTATATTTTATATTAAGCAAAATTTTTTTAAGGAAAAATATATGTACCTAATTAGAATATTTAATGAATATGCAACAGCTAAATTATTCAATGTTACTGCAGATACAAATTGCAGATAAAAAAACTGTACTAAATATTTATAAAGTTAAATGTAAACAATTTTTGAATTAATTGCCGTGTTACAATAAATTGTTTTTTATTTTTTAATGCAATTTTAAAATTGATAAAACAATTTAAATTGAAATAATATATTTTCTTACTAATTTGAAATTTTTTAAAATAATTATTTGAATATACATCTCTTTAAAGCATGCAATTTAATAATAAATTTAATAATGAATCGAGAAAGTATAAGAAGATATACAAATCAAACATTAATATTAATTATAATTGTGTGTGTAATTAAAAGTTCAATAGTTATAAATTAATATAATTAAGTTTAAATAGTTATTATAAATTAATATAATCGACTTTTATACATCCGCTATATATATATTGTCGATCATTTATTTATCTTTAAAAGAAAGCATTTACATAAATTGCATAATTTTTTATTTATGATTTGTTTGATAAAAATGCGTTCAATCCTCAGAGAAATAAATTTTTGCAAATTTTATATTTGTAAATTTTTCTCTACGTTATCTGCTGATTTATGTACATCATTGATTTACATTGCATATATTAATAAAATTTCGTACGATTTATAAAACACTCGCAATTGGGAAAGAATATTTAAAAAGTTCAGAATACGCATATTTCACACAAAAATGTCACATATATATTATCAGTTCATATAATTGAGTTATCCATCATGACAAATTGAATATTCATTTGCGATAAATATACATAATAACAAATATAAACTCCACCACATCCGTAATTGCATAATTTATTATAAATAAAATTATATTTTATGTTTCTTTTATTATTTTATTCAATATGATTAAATACATATAGAAAGAACTGAGGAAAAGAATATCTACAAATATAATATTGAATATAAAATATTCTCATATTCTATATTCTTATAAAAAAATGATTTTTTACCATTAATAAATAAATAAAACTTCTTTTATTAATGTTTTAAAATTATATGCTGTTACTTATTTATATTTTAAACAGAAAATTTTAATATAATAATTTTATATAATACACGACAGAAATATTCATGTTTCTAACACGCGAGACTTTTTACTAATAATAAGCAAAGCTCACGCCATATAAATCATAAATTATCGATACAGGTTCTTATATCGTTGAAAAGCAGATTGCGTCTGATTGATCGCATGTAAAAGATGGATCATCTGTTTAAGCGCATTTTGCTCGCAGCACATATTACAGATTCCAATATCCAACGCTTATCAAGGAAATGTTTCATATACACATATAAAATTATTTCTCCCTCTTGTTATTGCTATTATTATTAGTCTCTTTATTATATATCTAAATTTTTTTTAAATTAAAATATCTTGTAAAATATTTAAAAGATTCTAAATAAAATGAAGCACCCTACATCGAGAACATTAGCATACTAGAGCAATTTAATATAGCTGCTACGATAAATGTGCTTTAGTATTAAACTACATCGTAGCAGAAAGGATTAATTTATCTTCTACTGCGAGGACATCAAATAATTTCTCATTATGCTTTGATGATACTAACAGGTTGAATAATTGACTGACATGCATCGGCGAAAGACGTTATTATTTTCGATTACGACGAATAGAAAAGACGAAATAAATTCCATATATATATATATAAATTGTAGAAATACAAGTACGAGATTCACGAGTGCATTGTATTCTATAGATTCACGTTTGTCAAACGACAATCAAATGGAAATTGTTATACATGTCTGCGAATTATTATTTTTTATCTCGTCTTTTCAATATAACTTTTCCTCGATGGTTCACGCGAGCTATTTTAATAAATACAAACGTATGATCTATTCTCTATATATTTCTGTCATTGCATGTGGCAATATGATTTACGATACAATTTATATTTCGCAAAAAACACACACGCAAAAAGCACCAAAAAATACGCACGTACCAGATTTTTATTTATTATGCCTTTTAATAATGACAGCAAATGATTAATATTGCAGAAAAAAATAAATTATATCCTTTTGCATTCTGCATAATCAAATTATATGCATAAGTAATTAATTTTTATTGTAAAAAGTGTTACTGCAATTTAATATTAACGCAGCAAAATTAATGATCGTTAACGATCCATCATCTGATTACGTCATTACGCTATTGCAATCACTTAACTTAATAATTCGAAAAAATATATCTGTCTTTACACTCATCTTATTTTTATTTATCTTTATAAAACTGATGTAGGAGTTATCTATTTCTACTAAATGAAGAATGATAGTTTCCGTATTATCAATAATAATCAATGGGCAGATTTACTCCCGCCCACATACTCGGACACACATAATGAAGAAATATCTCTCGATACACAATATATATATATCTTCAATATTTTCGGAGCTAGTCCTCTCATCCGTCCACATCCCAATCTACGGTCAAGGAGAAAGAGGGAGAAAAGGGCACGACGCCATATTGTGGATGCTGCAGCGGCGCGCAAGAGTATTACTATTTTTCATATGGCACACTCTTATACCCTCCTTTATTTATCGGTCTCTTCTCAAGGGGGCGACCGGTTGGTTTATCGTGGGAGTCCGCGAATACGAGGAAGATCCGGAGAGGGCGAGAGCGGAGCTTGCGCGCTGCTGGGGGTAGTTGTGCGCGTCGTCGCGACGGCAAGCTTGAGGGTGAGTCCGCTAGTCGGCGTCAGGCCGGGCCACGCGAAGCGCGCTATGCTTGCGGAGCTGTCACCGGGAAGGAAGGATCGGGCAGACCGGCGGTGGCACCTCTCGTGCGCGCGCGAGAAAGGCGGGCCGATGGTACCGCGACAGCGCGGCGTTCTCCAGTGAAACGACGGCCCGCACCGGACGCGAGCGACGGCGGCGGCGGCGGAGCTTCCGTAAGATGCGGTACTTGAAGAGGAAGTCGCGCTGCCTCGTCCTGAGAAATCGCGTTGGACGTCCGTGACAACGAACGTCGTTCGAGTCGCTTTTTCCGCTACCGAGACGAGCGATCCCCCACCTTCGAAGTAGTAGGACCAAACGTTTTGGAGCAACAGAAGCCCCCACCAAAACGAGTGAATATATTTATCGAAATTTTGTATTAAGAAAGGACCAACAAACGCCGAAGAGCTTCGAAAATTAAATTGAGAACTCTGGAAACGGGATCGACTTTCTTTCTTTCCAGGAAATCTAATTATAAAATTCACGAAAGAGATACGTGGAGTTACAAGGATGTTTTACTTGGAGACAGGAGGAAGTGATGGGTTCTGTAAGAGGGAAAATCATAGTGGATCATCAGGAAGAGAAGGAAACCTTTGGCGAAGTAATTTCCAATGTTCTTTCAAAGCTCTCCGCGAAGAGATTTCAACGAGTTTCGACGTCTTCGAGTTATGAGTCGAAGAATTTCTTGGAGAAACGACGTTGGTCTCTCTGGGTGACGATTATAACGAGGTGCTATAGCAACATCGGAGAACCGTGACCGCGCAGGAGTTTCTAACGACACGTCGTTGTTGAAGCGATTTGTGATCGGTCTAGTCAACATCATCATGACTCTTCTTCGGAGCTAATGAGCCTTTTTCGACACCTTTGCGATAATCGTTCGCCAAAGCGTGATGAAAGTCCCTCTTTTTCTTGAGACGCATTTGTAGACGCGTATTCTCATCTTGCTGGATTTTTTGTTTCGCGCGCAAAAAGGGAGCAGAGCCGAGTGTGAATAGGTTTTGCGAGAGGAGAAGTTTTTTCCAAGGAGACCAAAAACAGGAAACTCTCTTCTTTTAAAAGGAACAAGATTAGTATTGCAACAACATAGGAAAAGTAGATTACAATTGCGACGTCGATAGAAGAGTTTGTAGAAGTGTATCCGATTAAAGGAGTAATATCAGCGAACGACGAAAACGGAAAAGGAGAGAAAACGGAAGAGAGAGAGAGAGAGGGAGAGCACGTGGGGGAAATGTGCCGTCCGACGTTGTGCGTCGAGTAAACAAGCGGGCGCACCTTCCTTCTAATTACGAGATAGTTAACAAGCACGCTGGTTGCTGGGTCCAAAAAAACGTAGAGTATTTTTAATACACACACGTACGTACGTGATAAGTTACTCTTGTACGGCGTTCAAGAACGATGGATAATTTTAAGAACAATTTAGGATGTAATCGCAAACTCTTTGAGGGTAGAAAACGGAGGTCCAATTAAAACAGCGAAGTATAAGTGCGGTCCAAATTTTTAGCAGCTTAGTCCTATTCTTCTGGTGTATGTATGCGTGGGTGTGTGTGTGTGCATGTGTGTGTGTGTGAGGGACTTTATCGGGTTCGATCATCGGCGACGAATATAATATTTTTTTCCGGGCATATCTTCCGAAGAGTAATATACGTCGTCGTGGAAGAAAACGGGAGGGTGGCGCGAAAAAAGGGTGGTGGAAGCGCTCTTTCTACGTGTACCGAACGCGGTTAGGCGCGACCGTGTTCCAGAAGTTTCCTTGCGGTTCATTAATCCTTTCCACGAGCGATGGTGCGTGTTACCAAACTGTAATCGCGTTCCGCGCCGCCAAGAAAAGGGTACATACGTCGCCGTACGACCGCGATCGGAACACTCCGGAGTCTCGCGCATCGTTGAACGGTACTCGCGACCGCGGAAAGTTTTCTTCCCCACGAGTGGAAATTACGAGTGGAGGAGTGGCAGGAAAAACGCGTCGCGAAGAGAGATAATTAGTAGAGGAGGTTGTTGAAGAGTTGGACTATCGTTTGTGTGTGTGTGTGTTTGTTTGTGTGATATCGTGCTCAACGAAGTCGTAGACGCCCGACTATATGAGCGCCAGCTTCGACATCGTGAAAAGATGGAGGACGTTCGTGGTGACACTGTGGAATAACGTGACCAACCGAGTCCGAGATGCCACGGCAAGCAAGACGCTAACAATGACGACTTCCAGCAGATACAGCAGCTACAACTGCCTCACCAGTTGGGATAGCTACGATCGGATTCCAAGGTACGATCGGGCTCGATCGCTGGATTCATTCTTAACTGTATGTTGTGTTTGTCTGATCACGTGGAGAATTTTTGTAAGGAAGATTCGAGGGGAGAAAATAGGTTCTACGCGTATTTTTTTTTAGTCTCAGAATCAACACTGTGAGAAACGTCCCGTTGGATCCCGCAATAATTATATTTGTTGCGATTTATTTAAATCGTGATTTTAAATATTCATCACGCCAACGTAAACGAGATTTTCCTAACAGACTTCTGGACGTTGCATTAATTGCGGAAACAAAGTCCATGCTATTAATTACATAATTTGAACAACTTGATTTGCAAGTTACATTCTACCTCTTACTCGTACATTTACACAACGCCTACATTTATTCTATATTTCCTCTCTGTGCTTTTATGAGTGATTAATAACGACTTTAATTATGGATTATGAAATCTTCTTTTGATTGATTAATTTCACTCGATTAGATACTTTGACATGTGTACAAATTATATGTGTGTGTGAGTGTATTTCAGCCTTTTTAGTCGTTGTCAGGATGATATCGCAATTTTTATTTTTCTTCCACGTGTTATTTATTTTTCACTTGTGTTATTTGTTTTCCTTGATTTAGATTTTTCACGCCGAATATATTAAATTACGACGAATTTTTGCTACCCAGGGTAACAAAAGTTGATTTCGAAAGGTTGTGGTTTTTATTGGCTAGGGATGTTGGGACACACTGAATAAATATTTACTCTGCAATCCCAACTCTGACTTCGTATATCCATCTAACTAACTACAACTCTAATTTTTAATTGTATCTGTACAATTAATATTACTTGAAATTGTTTTGAAAAATAAAAACTGTCTAAAAGCAATTAGGTTTTTACGTCAACATAAATCGAGAAACTCGAATATTTATTATTATAATTAGAATTAATAATAATAGTTTTCGTTAGAATTCTTCGGGGGCTGCCAGAACTGCTAACAGAACTGCCGATTATCGAAAAAAAATTTTACCTCTGCGGGAAAATGTTCGAATCCATGATTTTTTTGGAAATCGGCAATTTTATTGAGAGTTCTGATAGCCCCCCGAAGAGTTCTATCGATTACCCTTATTGTTTAATGTGCTAAAATTAATATAAAAAAAGTTGGAAAAAAATGTGAAGTTAGCCCCCCGTAACTTTTAATTTAAAAAATGGGGGGCTAACTTCACATACTCGAGTTTAGCGAATATATAGCGTAGTTAATATTTAATATATCTTAAGATATTTGATAAACATATTATTATATTAAAATGTGAAAAGTAATTTTTTTCGATAAAATCACGTACTTATAAATAATCGAATTTTGAAAGTAATAAATTCTTCTTTATAAGTTCGGTAATATGGTTTAATCTTTTTCTGGCGTATGCATTTTAACACTTGTACCGAAAAATCAGTAAATTCTTAAGACTTTGGTGACATGAAAGGAATACCTTAATTACTATTATTGCGACCGGATTAAGGATGACGAAATTTTAAAACAAAGTATACATAAATAAAAAGTAAAGTAAAAGCAAAATTGATAAATAATTATAGCAGCGCAAAGGAAATTACAGCATTGCTAATTCACTCGTGATAATTATATTGATATTAATATATTTAAATAATATTAATATAATTATTATTATTATCCTGCCTTTTTGGTATTGCCCTTATGATTTTTCAACGCAACTCTTCATTTTCGAGTGTTTGCGCGGCAATGACAAACGACATTTCCAAACTCAACATGAGAATTCAATACGCGACACGGATAAACGACACAGTGTTCGATGCTCGCTATTTATTTTTAATCTGCATTCCATAACAATTTTCAGGCGTGAGTGTGTCACTCGTTAAAATGCAACAAACGCTGGCGAATTATTCGCGTTTCACATATTTAGCGCCAGTTATCTTGTTACAAGTATGATCGTAAGTATCAATAACGGGAGATGTTATAGCACTCTTTTAGCATAAATGAGGTATTATCGGCGTACCTCAATGTTGATATGTGAGATATCGCATATTACATATATGCTGTTCAGTATCAGTTGAATGCAATTCTAATATGCAAAGTATGCTGAGATAAAAGAAAGAGAAAAGGGGAGAGAGCGATTTGGTGCAACATGAGCCTTTTGATATTTTAATGATATTCTGTTTTTTTTTTCTAAATTATATAATGAGTTAATTATACTTAATGAACGAATGAATTTTTTAGGCATTATTTTCAGAGATAATTATAAATGACACATATAAATAATAAGATTGAGGTAAATAACTATTTGTGATAAATTTTCTACTAAAGAAGCTTGTGACTTTGAATTTGAAAAAAATTCTGTCATATTTTATTTGAAAGTGAAAGACTTTATCATAGTAGCATCTTTATGCAGTCTTTTTACCGTCTTTGAATTAAAACGCAAAATATGTTAAGTAAATAAAATTCCATCTCATGCAAACACAAATGTGCAAGAGAATTTCTAAGAAACATATTCCTTTATATCATGCTTCAACAAATATGAATTATTACTTTAGTATATCATACAAATGGGGCATTGAAGAAAGCTATATTTTTTTTACGAACATTCAGTGTGGCAACAGTTTTAGACTTTTATATAAATAAAGAAGAAACTATCATATGAAAAATCAGAAAATCATACGGAATAGTTAATTTGTTTTCTATGCATTGGGATAAAATAATATTCTCTGCGAATGTTATTATCAAATTTTCATTCGCCAGTGAAATTTTTCTATTCTGGCGCAACGTATCTTTTTTCTCGTCTCAACGTTTGATAATAGCTTTATTCAACAAAAGGTTTAATTCGTTACTAGCGAAATTGGCGTCTAATTGAAGTTTCGGGACCCTTTCATAGCCGGATTTACGAGCGCAAATAAAGTAACTAGTCAGATTTTTTCATCCCTTTGCTGTTGACCTTCCAATTATTCTTCAGCTGCGTAACGAATAGTTATACGATCTGTCGCTTCATCTTCCACATTCATCATTTTTCTTTAGATAAAGTCTATTGACACATGTACGTCTGCCTATTCTTTTTCCTCTTTGATGATTGCATAAAGAATTGATTCAACAAGCAAACGTGATTTTTTTTTTCATAGCCGACAGATGAAGGCCATAAATTTTTATACAGTTTTATACAATGTGTATATAATTTGACGCTATGTAAATGTGATTAAAAAATTTTTTTTAAATTTATTCACATAATTATATATAATTTGATCTCTTTTTTTCACAATTGTATTGCATTTAGTTGAAGTAATGTACGCTAATTCGAAATGTGTGTCCCGTATCGTTACTATTTTTCTTAACTCGCTTTCGCCGCTTTTTTTGATCACGCTATTGCTCGCGTGCGAGATATTATCCGACACGGAATTTCTTCCTATGAAATAGCACGACTGCTGTTTCGATTTATTTTTCTTTCAGTTATGCTGTGCAACATGCAGATGTGACGGTAAAGTAAAATGTAATAGGAACATGAAGCTTTCGGAATTAATAAAGGATTCTTATGTTACTTACTTTTCTAAGGGAGCATTCAAGCCTGTTCATTTCTTATTCGTATCACTGCTTGCGTGACAGGTTTCATTCCACGTGAAATTTCTTTCGGTGTGTGAAAAATACCTTACTTCCGGTAAACTATTATTTCAATTTCTTTTTCTTAGAAATTCAATCGCAAATTTCACAGACAGTGGAATTAACTAAATAAAACTTGTTAATTTTAGACACAATAAAAATTATTTTAAAAATGTTTTTTGAAGCAATCTATATACAAGCATTACGATAGTAAAACAAAAAATTTAATATTGTTATAATAAAGTAAAGATCCGATATTTGATATTTTTTTTAGCAAGCCATAAAATTTTATCAAAATGCTCTAAAAGTGTTACATTTCAATTGTAACTCTCTTAAGAAATGATTTCAGAAGCACAATTGATGACTTAAATAACAATGCATGAACTTCTTTTCATCGATCATTTTAAGCATCGATCTGGAAGTTATAAAACAAAATTATTAGCTAAATTAAATGATGTCACTACTTTATAATCGATTTGTTTTATCTATATTTTATTGTATTATTTTTATGTACAAGAATGTTTTCAAAAGTATAATCATTTGCGCTTTATATTGTAAATATTTTTATCCTTTATTTTTAGCAGCTTTTAAAAATGTAAATAATTTGCAAAGTTTATTTGCAAGTTCTGTCAGTTTTAATTACTATATTTGAAGGTACAATCTGTAAAGCTTTAATTATCACGACGAATTCAGAGACTAAAATATATATGCTTAAGATATATATATGCTTTGATCTCTCCGTTTCGTTTGTGTAAAATTTTGATATTACTTCAATTTTTTTGAGTATAGCTTATAGCAGTTTTTTTCGTAAATAATGTTGTATATTTTTTTCAATATTTTTACATTCTCAATTAACGCTGGATGTTATTATATTTGATTTTATTTATATAATTGCATATACGTAATATTATTTTGGATTATAACTCTAAAGTTATTTATTTAATACTAACAATCGTGTGCGCACATAACAAAATGTGAGTATATTATATTATTGTATTATACAATTTATTATATAAATATTATTTTTTAATATTTATATTGTAGTCCTGAAAAGTACCTGTAAGCATATTCGATTCGATATAAAATTTAAATTTAAAAAATATGAGTTTCCCTCGTGATATCTTATAAAAATATACACATGCACTCGATTAAAGAATATGTATTATAATTTAAAGTAAATATACATCTTTGAAATACTTCGTATAAACGCATTGGTGTTATAATTGAAATAATCCGGAATATACGAAAATGATATCCTACATAATTTCTGAATAGTATTATCCTACGTAATAATACGCGATTGTCTCGATTAATGCGGTACCTGTCTACGAGCATCATCCGAATTTGTGCTGACATATAGTTGACACAAGGTCCTCATACCGACACCACAGGACCGCTTGCGGTAATCGAAATGCCTT